TAATTTGTCTGTCGAAGATTCGGTAAAAGTTAGTAAAGGATTGAAATGAACGTATCAGAGAAATTCTAGCGGAGGAAATAAAAATTAGTGAAGCTTTGAATTAGAGCTGGATTCACTTTTGTCCCACTTAACACGTTTTGCACAGATCGGAAATTAGAAATTTATGAGATTATATCTGCAAGCGTATGCATGTCCGAATAATTGAGCCATGGAGGCGAAGAAACTAAAATTTCATTTCTTGCGTCCGTAGCAAGGCCCGTAGCTAACCGACATCCAGATCTCCAGGATTTTGATTTCAAATTCGAATTTAAGCTTTTGTTGTGAAAGCTAAGAGCAAGAAATGCTTCGAAAATTTAATTTTCTATACGAAAGAGATGATCTAAAATTAGTTTCTGGAGATATCTACAAGACAGCGCTGAATTGGTAGTTCCCAACGCTTACGCTTATTTTTTGTGCAACTGATACAAATCCGGAATACAAAATGGATTTGAAGCACCAATTTAAAAAGAAGAAAGGATAGAAGTGAAGGGAGAACTTGGTTACTGGCTGTAGAAGTACCTATCAGAAAAGCGGAAAATATTTCCGCCCTCATTTGAAAATATCACTAAAAATCATTCTTACCAATTGGCCAGAGTTGCCTTCGGTCGTTTGCTGCACACTGGATAAGAAATCAAATAGAGCATCTGCTTTTCAAAAAATTCATTGCAAAAATCATTGACGACGCGCACTAAGGCGGGGGAGGAGGGAGGAGGGGGTGGTGCAATCATGCATTTTTGCAGTATTTTGTACTGTAGTGAGATCGCTTGGAATCCCGCTAGCTAGAATTTGTGACATACTGGTCCTCAAAGTCCAGGAAGTTAATTGTACAATTACGTGGTGCTTGGAGAAGAAAGATTCTGTTAAAATTTCAGCTTTCTAGCTCCTCTGGTTCTCGAGTTAGCAGTTTCCCCGCCAAATTTTTCACTGTATTAAAAAATTTTGGCTTTCAGGTCGATAATGAGCAGATAAATAGATGAATGCAGTGGAGAACTGGGCCGCTAGAAGGCACCAGGTTACGCAGCTATTATATATTAATTGGGCACAGCTGATGCTAGTAATTCGAGCGCGCAACATCTGTGACACCCACTCAGCTTCGGCGCAGCATATGCTGCTGGCTCTCGAGCACACGATAAATTTTAAAGCACAAATTAAGAAGTTTTTATGAGTTCTTCAAATCTGGGTTATTAAACCATAGGTACAACAGCAT